ACAGGAAAAGTAGCAAGGAAAAAATTATGCATGCCGAAGGCAACTTTTTCCAGGCAAAAACCACGGATCGATGAAATTATTATTATTCTTTCACCAATTCCCACTTCAAGTTTTATCTGTTCAATACGATTATTGAGATGATGAAACGCAAACAAGATAAAAGTTTATCTGAATAAAAGAAGATTCAGCTGTAAGAAAGTGTATCACTTCTGTGATAAAACATCAGCACAATCAGAGTGGATTTCATTTGGAACTGCAGCAGGTGGGTGTTAAATCTTGGAGAAAAGCATACGTCCAAGGAAGGAAGTGGACGAAAAGCTAAAAGCGTAATATGTGAACGGATCCTATAAATAAACAAACAAAGCTATTAGAAAGAAAATAAACTGTCTTGTTCGACTGTTGAATACAATATTCCATTCAGTGTAGCAGGTTTGGATTAAATGAGACTATACGGTTTATCTGAGACGAATCTTACTGACATAAGCATGTCAGTCCAATTATTTTATTCGAAATACGACCCGTCACTCAAGAAGGGAAGAGAACGGAAGAAATTTTGTTTTTTTTCTGAAGAAAAAGCACTAAACCTGAATGGTAAAGCTGTATCATAAACAAGAAATAGAAAAAACAGAGAAAAAAACGAGAAAGACTAGTTAAAACTTAGAATAAAGATAGAGAAAAAGCATGCAAGAGAAAATTTTTAGGTGCCTTTCTGTAGAATAACACAGTAGCACATTTTTTTATTATCAGGTTAGTAGTATTGTGAATGATGACATGCCGATATGATTGTCCAAAAAAGCTGTACCGTCTAGCGATGTTTAGGGTAGATTTTGACATGCATTACTCTGCAACTCATTAGTGTACAAAAGTAACTGTAAATAAGCATAAAACAAATGTAAAGATGTTAGTACAATAAGAAATTACAAAAAATTAATCTTAAAAATCAAAACTGTCGATATTACTAAAAGGTCATTGAGTGCATATGACAGAAGATAAGTCAGAATTGTACTTCAGTTTAACAGTCTTAAATTTAGAAAACTTTTGTTTTGAATTTGTATCTTAAAATCTCGATGATGAAACTCTTAAATAATACAAACTGTGATCGTCACACTATCCGAAGTAGCCTTGATAACGTTGTTACAAGATGAAGAGAGGTAAAATTCATCATGATAATCGAACCTAACATTCTAACCACTATAACTCTTCAGCTTTTTACCATGGAAAGCTGCGGACCGCTTTATTTTGTCGATGGAAGTCTGCTGATCATGACTGGCTATTAAGAAAATTTCCATAATCTCGCGAACTAAAGTGTTTTATGAAAAAGTCTTTGGAAAATTTACTCAGAAGTTTTTTTATTCCTGTATCATTATAAAGTCCAAAACCGATCGATTATATTCAGCTTTTTACACTATTTCCAATGGACTGTATGCAATCATACTTTAATAACTTAACGTTGATTCAGTTTGCAATTTTAATAACTTCATCATCGAGATTTTGAAATGAAATTTCAAAACAAAACGAGCATGATTTCCAAAAGTTTTCTTTTCCGAATCATAGCTAAGGACATGAACTTATTAGTGATATAATTTGTCCTTAGAAAAAAACTGATTTAAGTTTGTATAAGAAGAAAATACGATTAGCGTTTCTATAATTCTGCACAGGATTGTAAAACCAAAAGTGTAGATTTTAAGATATCTAGGTAGATATCTACCAGGGCTCTGTATGGTACGGTCTGGTCCCAATCTTTTGAGATCAAACCATAACTTTTTGGAACCAGGATCGCTTCGAACTATGAAAATTTCTTTCCTCCTTTTTGAAGATCTATTTCTATTGTGTAACGCAGAACTGTTTAATCTCAATTTTTATCAAACCTGAAAACAAACTGTTTCATAATTAAATGTTCAACAAAGCTTATCTAGTCGATAAACAAAGAAATCTCTAAAAAATTTCTAACGAGGACCAGTTCGAATCAATAGTTTTGGGACTGGAGCCAATTCGAACCATTCAAACTTTTAAAAGCCAAGTCGGATCGGACCATATGCAGCCCTGATATCTATTTGGATTCAGAACCGCCATCTGTTAATTAGTTTTTCATTCCGTTTACATAGAGATGAATAAGACAAAGTTTTTGAGCATTCCCTTCCACTATGAGATTAAAAACTCATCCTGATTCTGTTCGCTCTTTTCAAGCAAGAGGGAAAGGCACAGTGTGCATTTTGCGCATGGCAGGTGGGCATGTAACTTGTGTATACACCCGGACACTAATTTCCTTTGCTCAGAAGTGATTGTATATCACCCCGAAAATCACCTTTAAAAAAATAAAGCATTTCTTAAAAAAAGGCTTTTTCGACGACACCTGAGAGGGACCCTTGCCCACATTTTTTCGAGATAATGTTTTTAGTAGAAAATATGATGTGCCATATGCGCTGATTCCGAATATGTCATTGGTTTTGAACAGATATTGCTTTGGCGTTGGGAAAAGAGGGATTTAGTTAAAAAATCAAGTTGCTTTGAAGCTTTTTGGAAAACCGGCCGTACGGTCTAGCAGTGTATTCGCTAATTTTCGTGATTAGTTCCCAGTGGTGACAGAAGGCGTATGTTTATTTTACTAAACACAACCGTCGGGAAAATCTCTTTTCAAAAAACTTTATACTTTGCTGTAACGTTGTCACCGCAGATTAAGGAAATTTTTCATGAATAAATAGCAAACAGTGTGTGTAGATTCAGAATATGTGTCACTTTTGCCTATCGAAACATTCACTTTTGTGAAAAGTCAAATTTGCAAATAATGGCAGTGTTTCCACACTAATCTTTGATCAGCTAATTTTCCACGCTATTTAAGTTAGTAACGAACCTTTTCATGCCATCGAATAGAGTCTGTATTGAAGTATATTGATCATTAACTGAATCGACGAAAACCAACTTTCGTTTTTTTACTTAATGTTCGCCTGGATGTACACTGTGGATGCGCAGGGACAAGTCCAACGCTGATTTATGTTAATTGAAACTATGTTTATTTTTCAAAATAGATAATGGCGACAGCTACTAGTTTTGATGCATTAATTACAAAAATAGTAGAAGATTTTGAAAAACGAGATGATGAACTATCGAAACCATATTCTGTGTATAATCCATCATTCGTTCGAAAACAAGACAATAATAACATTCCTAATATGACACCTGAGTCTAAACAGTTTATGTGGTATCAAATATTTACAATTAGTTTAACGCATATGAATCGACCAGAAAAACCAGAATTTATTGAAAATTATAATCAAGAAATGATTAAAACATGTGAAACATATTTTACTAAAACTTTATTTAAAGATAAACAAATAGATGAATGTTCGAATGAGTATTCGTCTGATTTAGCTATTCATTGGTATACTAAAGATAGTTTTCTAAATCGTCTTTTAAATGAAGCATTACGAACAATGAATGTCGAAATACTTTTTCTATTTCGTTATGTTATACAAGATATATATGTTCAGTTAAAAAAACTATACGGTGAACAACGACAAAATAACAAACATATGACAACACTAACAGTTTATCGTGGTCAAATGATGACAGAAAATGCTTTCATTCAAATTCAAAGATCAATTGGTGAATATGTGGCAGCCAATAGCTTCTTATCAACAAGTTTGAAACGAAATATTGCTTTGGCTTATGCATCATCATCATCTGTTAAAAACGATCATTTTCAATCAGTTTTATTCGAAATCAACATTACATCAGATATCGCATATAGACCCTACGCTAATATAAGTCAATTTGAAGATGAAAATGAAATTCTACTTTGCATAGGAACAATATTTCGTGTGATAAAAGTTGATTATGATAAAAATGAACATATATATGTTGTACAGTTAGAAGTAATTGATGAAACAAAAGAACCTGAATTAAAAGAAATATCTGATTCTGTCAAATCAGAAATTAATCAAGAAAATCATCTTACTTCACTTGGAAATATTTTGGATGAAATGGGGCAGCATGACAAAGCAAAATATTATTTTCGTTACACGTTGAATAAATCATTAAATGATAGTCGTTATATATTAGCTAGTTCACATAAAAGTCTTGGAAATATTGCACGTAAAGAAACTTATCTTAATTTAGCACTTGAGCATTATTCTAAAGCGCTTGAATTTTATCAATCAGCACTGAATCAACATGAGATTGATATATCATTTTGTAACAATAATATTGGCTTTTGTTATTTGGAAAAAGGTGAATGTGAAAAAGCTATGGAAATTTATAAAAAAGATTATTGTACTAAATGTGATGGTCATCATGCAGAACAAGTAAAATGTTCATCCAAATTTTCTTTTCTCAATCATGATACTAAATCACCATCATTAGATCGTGATTCAGCTACATTTTTATGGTATCAATTATTAACAAAAATATTAGTTGAAATATCAACATCACAATATTTATCACATAATGATGAAAAAGATATGCAATGGTATAGTCAAAGTCCATTTCGATATCTTTCAATGAATAAAGCAATTAAAACACGTAGTATTGTTAATTTACTTGATTTTCGACCCTATATATTAGATTTACAGAAAAAAATGTCAACATTTGAGGGTAAAGTTTATCGTGGTGCAAAAATTAGCAATGATGAATTAACAAAATTGTCATCAAATATTGGTGGCTTAATGATATTAAATAGTTTCTTATCTACATCAAAAGATAAAGATGCTGCATTAAACTTTGCTTTATCGGATTTAAATCCTCCACTTCATCCCGTATTATATGAAATACATTGTAATCCAAATGTTGAAACAAAAGCTTTTATTAGTATAACTAATGATGAAATATTATTTGATATTTCAACAGTCTTTAAAATTATTCGAATTGATAATACATGTCCACCATTTAAAATTATTTATTTACAAACTACTGATGAACATCTACAATTGATAAATGAATATTATGATCTTGCTAAAAAGCAATTAATTGTATCAACACCAAAATTATTATTTGCTCGTCTTATGTATTATTTAGGCGATTATAAAATAGCATATACGTTCTTAAAACAATTTCATGAAAATATAGATGATGATAATGAAAATTTAGCAACATTTTATTATGATATTGCATATAAATATTATTCAAATGAAGAATATGATGAAGCTTTGGATACATATGATTCATTTTTGAAATATACACACAATGAATTACTTATTAGTCAAACAATGAAATATATTGGAAGTATTTATGAAGAAAATAATAATTATACAAAAGCAATTGAATATTTCCAAAAAGTATTAGAAAATAAGACATTAAGATCAAACTTACCTTTAGTAGTAAATTTATACTCAAATATTGGAATTATTTATCAAAAAATAAATAATTATAATTTAGCATTAGAATACTATAATCGAGCATTAGATATACAATTAGAAAATAATGATGAATTACAAATAGCATCATTGTATGATAAGATTGGTACAGTTTATGAACAAACAGGAGAATATACTTTAACGTTAATGTTTTATGAAAAATCACTTGAACTTAAATTAAAACATGGACACTCGTCAATTGCTGTTACCTATGAAAACTTAGCTTATTTATATCGTTCACAAGAACAATATGAAATGGCATTGAAATATTATTTACAAGCATTATATATACAGAAACAAAATTTACCAACTAATCATCCCTATATAGAGCAGATAATACGAGAAATAGGTGAATTGTATCGAGAAAAATGTATGTATAAAAGTTTCCTCCAAAATAGACTTCTAAAACAACAAATATTTGTATAAAAGATAGGAAGAGAATTGAATTAAACTGACGAATACGCGCGCACACTAAATGTTCTTCTTCTTCTAGTTCCACACTATTCACCAATGAAAAGTAAAACAAAATGGGGTAAGAGTATAAATAATTTATGCATCATTTGAACCCTTTTAAGGTCCTTCCCTTCCGGGTAAAAACCTATCATGGTAATTATACGTCAGATCTCGACCAAACTATCAACAGTATCAGTATATTGAGTACGTCAACGTGTGGTGACGAAACCGAGAGCTCGGCACAGTGGACATCCAGGAGGACATTTAGTCAAAAATCGAAATTACACATATGTATAGTTCAATTGACAGGCCATCAAATGGTGTAAAATGTTTTACTCCAAGTGCACTCATTTTCGGAAAACCGTACCTTCCAAAAATGCCTGAAAAGTAGCGACCTCGGAGAAAAATAGGCTTTTTATTAGACTCAGTAGTCTAAGGTTTAAAAACTTTATATATTCTGAATCTACACATTCTCCTCCACAAAACTAGAAAACTTATCATTTCTAGGCCTGCCAAATCGGAGAAAAATATTTGACTTCCAGACTACGTCTGCTTCGAAAGAGACTCTTATTTTGTAATGGGTTTTCCCCCTTCTCCCCTCGTTCAATCTGACTTAAAATTATACCAAAATGCTCGGTGTTATTTCCTCTATCAGTTGTGAATGCACAAAAATGCACATACGTATCAAAGTGGAGTTATAGGTTTTCCAAAAACACCCTGGATTTTGAAGTATTTTCCATTTACCTCAGCTAAGAAACATGTTTATTGAAAGTGAATGCGATATTCGGAATCAGCATGAAAAATTGCCTCGAAGGATATATAATTTGTTAATTTTACAAATAAAATACTTTCTGACAGAAATTCAGAGCAAGGGCCCTCCTAAGGAATTTTTTACCGAAAAAAATGCTTTTTCTGAATTCGAGTTTTTACTTTGATTAATATCTGACGCATAATAAGACCATGCGAAAATAATCATTTTTTAACTCAAGAAAACGAGATGTCCGCCTGCTCTATTGAAAAATGTCCACTGTGTTCGGGTGGTTTGCGCATGCAGATAGTGATTGACGGAGACAGACTTTTGAATATTTGCGTTATTGGTTTTTGATATGCATTAGAAGTCAAAAATACCAAAAGCTATCCATGAACTTCTCAAACATCCTTTACTCAATCGGAGACTAGGGCAGAATGCAAAAATTATGTTCTATTAATCTTTAGCCGAATGTCTTGGCTTTCTATTCTTCCTCTTGTTAGATTCTAAAAAGTAGCCCAAGATTCGAAGGTGATAGAGAGTTACGATCTTCACCATCCAATAGCCAAAACCTTTCCATAAGCAAAAACGCTTTTGAAATTGCTTCTCGAAAACCCGTTTTCAAAATAGCGATATATTGGCTTTTTCCATGTGTAAAGAATCCTAAGTCTCTTCTTCATAACTGGAGCCTCGATTTTTAGTGGTTCGAGTATGGTATCGAATTTCTTGGAGTCCCAGAACTGGTACCCAAGACTGTTGTTACTTTGAAAAACAGGTGGCTTATATAATATAATCGATCATGCTGAGCCTCATAAGAATATTTGTTTTTAGGAAAACAATTTAAAACCTATGAAGGAATTTTCTGACTTATTCTGGTTGAGTTATAGAATTTACAAAATGTCGTCGATTTGCGAAAAGTAGCCATGATATTTTGACTATACCTTCGCCATTTTTTATCCGTTCTGTTCGAACAACATCTCATTCGAAAGCCTGATAAAAGGTGAACAAAGTCACATACCTCCGAATTTTTCTGAAGTAGTAAGTGACCGTTTAAAACCCACATCAATGGGAAAATTGAGATTTTGAAGTGTCAACATTTTCGAGAAAATCCGACTTTTGATCCTCCAAACAGAATTTTGCTAACAATTCGAAGCCCACATACGATAGAGAACTCACGTTCCTACAAACTGAACGCAAAAACTTTATTTTAAACATGGTGGAAAAGCTCAAAAACTTGAAAACAAGATGG